GCTGGAGTGGCCGCGGGGGGGTCTGGAGTCGGGCGGCCGCTGGCGGGGGACGCAGTCGCCCGGGCCGAGATTGGGGGGGCAAGGCGGGCGACAGAAGGCCGATGCCTCCGTCGCCCGGCCCTCTACAGAATCCACCCCCCAAACCTCCAGGTATTTCCCTCCTTAGAGCTGGCAACCCTACATTCCCCTCAGTGCCTGTTGGTAGGCAACTAAGCTTGGTCCTGTCACCTACTTTGGCCTTTGGGAGAAACCACATTGGGGCCAATCCTGATAGGGTTGCCAACTCCCGATGGGAAATTCCTGGAGATTTGAGGGATGGAGCCTGAAGAGGGTGAGGTTTGAGGAGGGGTGGGACCTCAGACAGGTACACTGCCATAGACTCCACCCTCCAAACCAGTCAGTCCCACATAGGGAACCATTGTTGCCAATCTCCAGGTGAGGGCTGGAGACCACTCAAAATTACAATTGCTCTGCAGAAGGGAGGGCGGAAGTCAGCTGAAGTCAAAGGGGCAGATAATGGTAGGTTGGTGGCTAGCTGGGAAGGAGATGGGGTTGCCAACTCCAGGCTGGCAAATTCCTGGGGATTTGAGGGGTGGAGCCTGGAGAGGGTGGGGTTTGCGGAGGGGTGGGACCTCAGACAGGTAGAATGCCATAGACTCCACCCTCCAAACCAGCCATTTCGTCCTGGGTAACAATTGTTGCCAATCTCCAGGTGAGGGCTACAGATCACTCAAAATTACAACTGCTCTTCAGGTAGCAGAGATCAGTTCCTCTGGAGAAAACAGTGGACTCTGTCATTATACCCTGCTGAGATCACCACAGCAAATTGACACTGTTTGCCCAAAGCCAGAGCACTCTCCCAGAGCCTATTTCTAGATCTCGTTGTATTTATTTCCACAACGGGCCTTATTCCTAGTATTTTAATAAATGAATAACTACATTGAGACTGCTAAAGGCAGTTTGCAGCCCAATCCTAACTTCTTTTGTCAGGCCTTGTGTTCAGTGGACTGTGCTTAACACTGTGGCCTTGTTACTGAATAGCGTAATATGTATGCTACAAGTAGAACAATTTCATAGTTATATTTATAACCTAGCTTTATTTCTACATTTAGGTAAAATACCTATAACTTGCTTTTCTCCCAGAGCATCATATGACAAAGGATTAAAACCACAGCCCATAATAATAATATTACCAAAGATTGCCAAGAACAAACTGAATTATCCTTCTGCAATCTGAAGTCTTGCCAGAATGACAAAGAAAGGCAAGGGTCAATTGCAAGAGCATATTTGGAAACCAGTCCCTTGCTCCGTGCCCTCTGGCACAATAGCTGTACAGTCAGTGTGGTGGCTTGTTAAAGCAGAGATTTTTTAGTCTTTCTGGCTTTAGGGAACCTTTTCCAGTTTGATATGCAAGTCAAAAGTCCTCAGCATATTGAAGATAATTCTGGAAAGTGTTTGTTTGTTTATTTATTCATTACATTTCTACCCCACCCTCCCGCCAAAGCGGCTCAGGGCAGCTTACAAACCATTTAAAACCAACATACAGTTAAAACCAACAATTACACATATAAATACAGTACCATAAAATCCCAGCTAATACATCCTATGATAAAGTGCTAGTGCGACACCACCGGCATAGTCAGTTCTTATTGAAACACTTGACGGAATAGCTCCGTTTTAACTGCTCTACGGAACTGCTGAAGGTCCCGTAGAGCTCTGATCTCCTGAGGGAGCTCGTTCCACAGCGTTGGCGCCGCCAAGGAGAACGCCCTGGTCCTAGTTACTGCTAACCTAGGACCCCTAGGCCCAGGGGAGGCCAGACGGTTTTGCGTTCCCGATCACAGTGCCCTTGGGGGAACATATGGGGAAAGGCCATATAATAATATAATATAATATAAGAAGCCATGTAAACCGCTCAGAGCCTCCGGGATAGAGCGATATAGAAATTGAAAGTTAAATAAATTAAAATAAATAAATAAAGGCAGGTAGGCAGACCCCAGACCATTAAGGGCTTTAAAGGTCAAAACCAGCATCTTGAAGCGAATCTGGAACGTTATTGGAAGCCAGTGCAAGGACTTCAGCACAGGCTGGATGTGCTCCCACCTGTGTTCTAGTGCACAGCCTTCATTCATGTTGACTGGGCCCTTTAAGCTTCACTTGCTGTGCCTGAATTTACAGTGTACTGGACAAAGCACCCAACATAAGAACATAAGAGACGCCAATGTTGGATCAGGCCAAAGGCCCATCCAGTCCAACACTCTGTATCACACAGTGGCCAGAAATACCAGTGCCATCAGGAGGTCCACCAGTGGGGCCAGGACATTAGAAGCTCTCCCACTGTTGACCCCCCCCCAAGCACCAAGAAGACAGAGCATCACTTGCCCCAGAGTCCCTATCTATACCTTGTGGCTAATAGCTACTGATGGACCTCTGCTCCATATGCTTATACATTGTTCTGTAGCTACACATTTTTACGGGGAGATCAGTTGTAGGTCCAGGATGTCTTTCAAGGCAGCTTATCGGCTATTTCTACACTTACTGGGGGGAGGGGGGGGACTGATAAGCCTCCAAGGAACCCCGAGCTTTCCTTTCTTTTTAAAACTATTGGTCTTGAAT